CTTAACTCGAGAATATTCCGCGGACGTCCACGGAATACCAGAACAGGCCTTTTATGCGACACGGAATCGCGGGGTGCGATGCAGAACGCGTACGCGCCTTCTCGCACTTGCGCAACTGCATACGCGTGCACTTACGCACGCACGCGGGTTTCTTTCTTTTTCGTTCATTCCTGGACGCCCGCGCGATAACGAGTATTTTTTGAAGTCCTCGGGGCCGTCGATCTTTCCCCTGCTTTCCCGGTTGAGCCCTCTTTCGTCACTATCACATATCTCCTCGTTTCTCGCAATCGAGTCATTAGCGCGGCGCGCTCGTGATTAACACGTTGTTAGGAAGTAGTCAATGTCTCCATCAATGCTGAGCGAGTGAATTACAGCGGCGATAAGCGCTTGATAGCGACAAGCGGCATGATGAATGGGGAAAAACGCGAAAGGCGCGCTATCGAAGAGCGAAGAGGAAATCGGATTGACGCGGACGACGCGCCGTTCGCGATCGTTCGACGACGAAAATTCGGAGACTTATTTCGCCGGACACCCGACAGCGCGAAATCGATCGTCGCCGAGAGACGGCGACGAGACGAGACGGAGACACCGGGACACACGAAGGTGGAATTAACCGCGGATAAGGACGAAGGACGAAGACGCACGGTGCGGTGAGCTATTGTTAACGCGATAGGATCCCAGGCCGGAGATCCAATTTTGGTAGAAAGCGGGATAAAGGAACGCGCGCGCCGTCGGGGGTGAGCAGCGCGATGCGTAAGAGACGAGGGGAAGTCGGCGGCCGGGTTGTACCCAGGACGAAGAGTTATTGACCTGCCGCGCGACGGGTGGGTCCTTGTTCGGGAGAGACGGCTGGCGGCTGCTCGCAAGGACCTTTTTGAGGTTGTTTGTGTGACACGCGAGACTGTCGGGTTGTCATCAAAGTAGAACGTTGCGCGGCATAATGAGTCATCACCCTCTCTCGTTCTTCGATCGGTGGAATCATTCAGTTTTACGGAGTACACTCAGGGTTGTCACCTCAGTTTGCTCGTCCGTCCGGAGATCGGCAAAGGCTGGTCTCTCTAAAAGAAGAACGAAGTATATGTCAATAATAATAATATACGCACATCAAACTCTCGAAATATCTTTGATTTATTGTTATCAAGACGTCGCACTCACTGTTGCATTTGATATTACCTGAAATGTTGGTTCTGCTTTAAGTCTAATTTAGTTTTCTACATTAAGTTTTTTTCTTGTGTTCCTTTGGTGCCACAAATGGAGAAGTTATTGCCGTCTTTCCACTTGAAGACTTAACGTAGAATTACAATTTAGACTGTGGAAGTCTCTCTGGAGTCAACTCCCATTTGTAACATTGAAGGAGCACTTGTGCTTCTTCCGATGCTACAAGTAGGAACTTATTTCCATTTCCTCTCCTTGAAGACCCAATGTAGAATTTAAAATTCCGACTCGAGTACACATCCCGAGTCGAAATTTTAGTCTTACATTAAGTCTACTTAGTTCTACGTTAAGTTCAAGTGGAACGAACGCGAATAACTTTCCGTTTATAGCACTAAAAGAGCATTATTAATGCTTCTTTGATGCTACAAAAAGAATCTGGACCTTCCGGGGGGAGATTTGATATTCTACTTATTGCACTTAATTTTTATCGGTTACATTGCTATATTGGCCCGGATATTTTGTCTTTCTCCTGGAAACTCCGGGCGAAGGCCGGAGAGGTGACAACCCTGAGTACACTCGTGTATACGTTGTACACGTTGCGCTTCCAGTTGCTCATTTTACATTACAGCGATGTAAGCGTGAATTACGTTTGAATCTAAGCGCATTTCGTCGCCAATTTGATCCCTTTTTATTGATTGCGTTTCGAGTCTGCTGGTACTTTTCCGGAGGCGGTGGGGTCGAAATCGCGCACCCCGCGGCTTCAGACGTCCACCCTCGTCTCTCATTTACAACGAGCGTTGTAGGTACGCCACTCGTAGACTCGCGGACTAAATGAATTTAATCATCGGGCGGTAAACCCTCTTCCCTCATCCTTCCTTCCGCCTTCTCTCTCTCTCTCTCTCTCTCTCTCTCTCTCTCGCTCTCCTCTCGCGCGCGCCATCCTCCTCCCACTTCCGCCGCCGAGTTACCGAGGCCAACGACCCCCGCATCGGCGGCAGGGTGGCGACGACGAAATTTCACTTATACCACGCCGCGGGGGAGAAAGGTCCCCCTTTCAAAGGGAAACACTTTGTGCTCTTAACACTACGTGAACGCGCGCGCACGCGTGTGTGCAGTCGATGACTCCCGTTAATCCTAGATCGCGCATTCGGAGAGGTTCGTTAAAGAGCCCGGTCGGACAGCAGTCCTCCGTGCGTTTCAAATACTCCTCCGGGCATTGAGATCAAAACAGAATCTCGAGATCTAAATGTTCCCTTCGGGGGGTGCAGCCCGCGTATCGAGGCCGATAATGGACGAGATTAGTGTCGGGAAACAACGACGGTGACTCGAGGCGCGCTTTCGAATATCGAAATAACCGCATGCAGTTATTAGAATAATTAAAACTGTAATTGGATCCCTTTATTGAGTGAAAGCGAGCGCCAGGCGACGCTTGATTATTTCGTCGCGTTTACGTAACGTTGTGAAAATAATTGCCCGGCGTATTACACCGTCTCTCTCTCTCTCTCTTTTTCTCTTGTAGCGGTCCCGGGATCGCCGTCACACGACACTCCGTTTGTCATGCGAGCATGACAGAGTCGCCGCTCGTAAAATCCTCGGTCGCTGCCGTCGCCGCGGTTGTAATGGACTCTCCTCGACCGACGTGTCTAACGCCGCCGTCGCTTTTTCCGCGAGCCACCAAAGTGTAACCGCCGTCGCGCGCGTCGCTCCAAGTTCCCCGACGAGGAATTATCGTCGGCGGATCAGTGAAAGCACACGCGCCACGCACAACGCGTGTATATAGATTCAGAACACACGGTTCGTTTACGAGGCTCGCTTTACGCGCGATTTCTACGATTTTCCCGTGAGTCCGCCTGCCGTCGTTCGCACCCTTCGGCCGCCGTTAATTCGCGAGATGCGAACGTCCTTTTTTTCCCGACGGGAAGAAGTTCCGGAGAGAAATTTCCCGACAATGTCTCCTCTCTCATTCGCGATAATACGAGGACTGTTCGAATTTTTGCAGAGCCCCGGGAACAATTAGCAGTATTCAGTCTCCTTGATTTCTCGCGGCTACGGGAGGATAATCGGAGGAAGAGAGATAGAGAGAGAAGGAGGGAGAGAGAGAGGACAAAAGAGGCAAAAATACAATAATGCGTATAAATAGATTTAAGATAATAGTACCAATAGATTTACAATGTTAAGAACACGACTTATTAAAGTAATGCTCATCGAGTAAATTTTAGATTTATCGCTTGAAAGAAGTTACATGTAGACAATATATTTAAAGTAGTGAAAAGTACGGTAATGAGTATAAGTAAAGGACGGCAGAGGGGGAAAGAAAGTATACGGGAAATTACAGAGTGATGATTCTCGCGCGCGACTTACCTCCGTCAAGGGTCAATCTCGGCCGACCCGGCGCTCCCGAGTACAAACGCGATCTTCCGCGGCGCAATTAATTTTCTCGCGTGCCTCGCTCGCGCACGTTCGTCCCGTCCGCGAGTCGATGATGAGTGGAAACCGTGTAAAGTTCGCTCGCACGTACGACTAACGCGAACAAATACCTGTGCAGGAACAACACGAGATGCACGATCACCGCATGGCGAGTGCATCGCCGCGCAAACGATAACATTAGCCGAGCGCGGACGGACACGCGAATCTAATGTGAAACAAGATCGACGAGTGTACGGGAGGGTGGGAAGGAGGGAGGGAGGGGAGGAGGGCTGTATAAAAGCGAAACTCCGCGTTCTTTCTCCGCTTGTGTAGACACGAGTATTTGTTACACCGACGAGGGTCAGTCCTGCGGTCAGGTGAAAGAAAGCATTGCGGAGGAGAAAAGTACCGTCGATGAAGAGAGAAATTGTTAAAAAAAAAAATCCAACCTCTCGTGGGCGCGATGTTTTGTGATTTTTTCACAATTTCCTTCCGAAATTGCGTGGACGCGGCGCGTTTTTGTTTGTCAACCGTTTCTTTCAACAATCGTGCCCCGTGGGCGCGCGGCGATTTTCTATTTTTTCACAATTTCTCTTCTCTCCGCTGTCGGCGTCGGTACTTTCCTCCCTTGAAAAAAAGAAAGTCGCATTTCATCCGGGATATAACCCGACGCTCCCGTTTAACGTCGTATATCTATATCGTTCTGACTTCCGACGTCGGACAATGATCCGTCGTCGCGTTCCTCGCGTTCGGTCGTTCGCGCGGCGAGCGAAGCTCTTACCGGCGGACTTTCCCTTTTCGAGCGATCGCCAAGAGACAGAGGCGCGTGCGTAAAAGTTACACGCAAAATCGCGGCATAATGCGACTCTCGCGCCGGTTACGAGATCGCGAAAAAGACCGCGCCGCGTTTTACGATTTTAAGACCTCGCGCGTTCGCTCGCACAATCGCTCGCTTTTGTTTAATTCAAGTTGTCGCTCGAGGACTGAGTCGTGCGGGCGTTGGCATCGGCCATGCAATTACGCTCGGCCGTTTTCGTTCGAATTAACGATTGTAACGCCTCACGTGAATGAGCGCCAGCGGCGACTCGCCTTCGCGACGCGACTTCGCTTTTCGTCTTCCGGCCGGATATCTTATCGGTCCGGCAATAATTCGCGACGAGCGTTCCGCCGATGTTCCTTCGAGGTGCCATTACCATGGTATCTCCCCCGATAGTCGGCAAGTTCACCTCGTTGCGCAGTTCCGTGGCAAATAATGTAAAGGTCGAAGAGATGTCCAACGAGCGTAAAAATTGCAACACACACACACGTTCGCCCCGCGACTTTTCCGCGCGATAATTCTCCGTGCGTGCATGCTGAACAATGTCTCTTGATTTGATCTCTATTGTCCGCATGCAGGGAAATATATTAAATATTAACCCTTGACCCTTTCTTTGTTTCAGTATACGATCGACAAGAAACCAACCATCCAAGTCACGGGAAATGAAGGAGTGAGTGAAAACACATTTTTTCTTCTCTCTATATATTCTTATAGACACTGCGCTAAGCACGTTCTTCGACGAGCTTACACACGGAGGAAAGAAATTTTGCTGTAACAAATTGTTAGTTAATATAGTGTTAGTTAATATAGTGTTAGTTAGTTAATATAGTAGAGCAAAACAGTTTATTACGCGGAAAAAATAATTTGGCTATTGTAGCAGAATGTTGTTGCGACAGTGATGAAATTTAATTGGCGCTATTAAATTATTTTTTTACTCATATATCTTAATAAATATTTCTACCGTCCAAACAGATCTTTCTACCACCACCATATTAACGAACAATTTGCAATTCCAAAGGCAAAAATTTTTTTTTCCGTGCACGGAAAAAGGAATTAGCTCCCCACAGTTAAAGATTGGCTGTCTGCATAACACAACTAAAAATTTAATTTATTTGGCTAATTTTTGTGGTACTGATTTAATTTAACTAATTGTTGTGTGCCTTGTAATTTCAGCTCCTACAGCTAAAACATAGATTTGACAGCTAAATTTTAATTGTATTTAAGTTCCCATCTATCTTCAATTTTCGCAGCTAATTCCTCTTTTCTATGTACTAGATAAGTTAATTCTGACATAGCGCGTTATCGGTCGGTCACGTGGAATAGATTAAACGACTTAGTTAAGATACGATGAGGCGTTCGCGGAAACAGCTTATATCGTAAACGAGATTTCAAACTCGTTGTTTGAATATATTGTTTGAATATATTTCTCCGAGATACATGCGTTCCTAGAAAGAAAAGAAAGAAAAGAAAATTAGTAACACATATTTTCTCTCATTCTCTTATACAAATTCAAGCGTGTCATTTTTACACGTATAACATGAAAAAAATGTCACATTTGACCGAAGCCCTTTTAACATGTTTCTTGCCGTGTTAGTTACGTCATTTAAAATCGTGTTAAATTATATTTAATTATTAATATGTCCAATCGCATTAAACGATGTGATTTAAAACGGCGGGAAATGTGTGAGAGAAGCCTCAGCTCAAATAATACACATAAATTTGTAGTCTCGCGAATGAATCGTTCGTCAAAATTGTTAACCACGAAGCGTGTGTGAACACGTCCAATGAGCTCCTATGAATCACTAGTACCGATAACATAAATACACACAAGGATAATACACATCGAGAGGACGTTGACGACTTTTTCCGGCTGTAATAATCATCGCGAAACCGACGCGAGGTAATTATTTTCGTTATGTCCCACGTACGGCCGCGCGAATCGGTCTGTGCACATCCGTGATTCCCAGAAATTCTCCCATGGCCGAAATTGATCGCGGTAAAAGGATCCGCCGGATCTCGCCGTACGAAATCCTCGTGTAACGTCGCGGACGAGGGGGGAGGGGTGGCAGAACCGACGGAGCGGAGAACGGTGAAATTTTCTTTGAGAGAAAAAAAAGTGAGAGTAAGAGGACGAGCGAGCGCGAGAGAGAGCGAGAGAGAGCTTGCGCCTCTGCCGCCGTCGATTTCCTTAATTCACTCACGTAATCTGTTAATCACGTAGAATTATAATCGTTAATACCTTGGTTTACGCGAATTTCAACTTGCACAATAGAGAAAAAAATCACTCCTCGTATGTGTCACCCATCGTTACCTCTCGTATTATCATTTTTAATTAAAAAACAATATTTGAATCAACATCATACCGAGTCGAAATTTCAGTTCTACAAGTCTATTAAGTCTTTAGAGATCTTCTAGTGCGCTCCCTTCGATGCTGCAAATTACAGAAGCTATTTCCGTTTTCTCCACTTGAAGACTTAGTGTAGAACCAAGTAGATTTAATGTATGACTGAACTTTCGCCTCGGGATTCCATTTGGAGCAATATTTTCGCGCGATTCAGAACAAATGTATTTTGCGCATCTTATCTTTATTATCTCTCTATATTTCGCACACATCTACGTTAGATCCTTCTAAGATCGTAACCCGAGATCCAAGTCTTCTCGCGACGCTGTCATCGCCGTTGTCTCGACGTGGCGCATGTTTTGCGTTACACGCGAAAAAGATCTCGCGATCGAGAGCTCGATCTCTCGGCCGGCCGAGCGGTCGCAATGCGTGTACATGTATGCATGTGTTGTCACACACACACACACACACATACACACCGAAGGTTCCTCGGTGAAGGCGATCGAGGTCGTCTGAGCAAGGTTGTACACCATTTTCTCTCGCTGCCGTTCGGTCTCTCGCGAGCCCTCTTAGCCCTCCGTACACATACTTGCGTGTACGTGTACACGTCGAACAGATTTTCGTCGGTGCTGGAGAGGTATCGAAAAAACGTCACGCGGCCACATTTCTTTCGTACGAATGCGCACATCAGTGCTAGACTCGCCCCGTTAAATCTTTTCGTTAAGCCGTAATAGCGGCGCACACAGGTGCGTCAAACGGAAACGTTTGCCGCAAGTTAGTCAAATTGGACACGTTAAGAAACACGTCATACGCATCGATTATGTATACACGCTGATTATATATATGTTTCCGAGTTAGTTACACTCAGGCGTGCTTTAAAACTAACTCCGTTGAGTAAGTAAAAATTCTCTCTTCCTACGTTCGTTCGCGTGTCGACAATTTCAAGTGCAAACCGCTGCATTTCCACTTTATATTACCCGCGCTTAATTAGACACCGATTATCGATCGCGAGCCGAAGTCAAAGCCGACCGAAGAAGTCGATGAAGGCGACCCTTGTCTTTCTTTTTCCACTCGTTTTACAGAGACTCGACTGTCCCGATCGTATCGGCGCGTTAAGGCGGATTATTTGTCCTCGTTCGAAAAAACGGCCTTCGTACGCCCTGGCAATGTTGAAGAAGAGAGGAACGTCGTACGTAAAACGCTAAGCGGCCATATGCCACCGGCGTTCCTTAACGACAGCGGCCGATCGTTGATACAAAATCTCTCCTCCGTTGATCTCGGAGGTAATCGACCTCCTTCCCTCGTCCTTCGTCGGGCTTTTCTCCTCGCGCCGCGGCTATAGTCGTTCGCTCCTCACCTGTTTACTGCGTCGCGACACGGAGTTCCGATGAGGACGCGTGATGAACCTGTCGTGGACGTAACGAGACCGAGAAAAGGCTCTGATCTCCGTTGGCCGAACCTCGGAGATACCTTCATTTCGAAATTCTACTTCATCTCTCCGTGAGTTCTCCGACTGAATACTTAGCATGTGTAATTATCATTGGTAATCGATTCTGTGACGTTACCACGTCTTATTGAGTTACGTATGAAGTATCTAATTAATTTCATCTATAAACTTAGCTTTACGGCCGGTAAGGAGCTAATAACACGAAATAAGATGTACTCGTATGTGTATTTAAAATTATATTTATTAGTAACCGTGTCTTTAGTAAATTCATTTATATCACATAGTTTTTGTACGATCAATGGAAATCAGTGCGATATTAGTCCACATATTGTAATGGTAAATTTAAGGTGTCTTTTTTTTGCGGATTCTCGTTCTCAGTTTATGAATGATATATTTCGCGTCTCTATATCGGGGTGTCCACCAACCGGAAAAACCCAAAATTCCCATGAAATTTTTTCTACCTGGAATAGAAGTTGTACCTGGTCCTCGGGGAATACTGTGTCTCGGATGACCCGGGGAATTATTGTTGAAATCACGTTTTTACAAATTTTACCGTTGTTCTGGTCGGTGAAAATAATGAAGCTATTCACATATTTCCATTTATCATTTATCACTTTATTTCTAAGAACCTATCCGAGTCGAAAGACTGGTTCTACCATTAATCCTGTAAATTCCGTCAAACTTAAATGGAGAATTAATAGGGAAACTCGATATATTCTTTTACAGATTATTGTCTTTTGATGTTAGAGGTTCCTCCCGCGATTTTATTCTCAGATACACACAAACATGTTTATTTAAGAATTACTTAATATTCGATTATCTCAATAATCTACCTGCACTTGATCCTTCTTAGTTCTTAATTTCAATAACCAATGTGTTAATTGTGTAACAACTTATTTAATTGCGGATAGAGTATATTGCGATAAACAAATATTAAATCTAAGATTAATAGATAAATGAGTAAATGAAACGACAAACTTTTTTCTTCGACACTTTTGATACATAATGCACGTGAAATTATCCTGACAATTTAGTAATTTAATATTTTCATAATTTTTTTACTACTCTCTGTGGATTCGAAATTATTTCAAAACCATTGTCGTGATTTTTCGGCCACCGAATATGCTCGTCATTGATTAGCGAGCGACGACAGCTCAATTGACGGGAGGTGACTTTGTCTCTTTCATAGGTATCAATTGTTTTGATATTCCCGTACGTCGCATATTTGTCCGTGACCGCGTCATTATGTTCTGAGCCGATGAACGACGCACATACCGCGACGCGTGGCACGTGTGTCGGCGCGTGTTTACGATCTCCTGTGTCGGACAGCTGAAATATTTCGTTGGTTGAAATATCGGGCTCTTATTAACATCGCATTAACTAATATATTAATACTAATATATTAATACATGTTTCTACGATCGAATCATATTTTTATCGCGAGTGTCAATATCCTGTCCAACGAAGTAGCCAGGATCAGGATGCTAAATCAGAACGCCAGGACACGACCAGCAACGTATCTCCACGTGTGTCAAATGATTTATTATATAGAATGTTTTCGGTTTTAACAGACGTCCGGTGAAATCACCAAGAATAAGAAAATATACCGAGTCGAATTTAGAAACTATTTTCGGAGATCAGTATTCGTAGATCCTGTTATTGTATGATAATTATAGTTTTACGAATCTCTAATTACTTGTCAACTTGTAATATTTATTTCATACAACATGAAATATCGTTCTAAAAAGCCGAGTAATGTTGCCGTGAATATAAATCTACAATTAATTATGCTTTTAATCACAGATCGTAAATAATTCACAGCTACAAATATTCACAAATGCTGAGATTTGTTTCTGTAATAATGTTTCTTGAAACACGAGTC